AGTCGAAAGATAAATATTATATTTTGTGATGATCTGTGGAAGTATAGTATGGTAGACACTGTTGTTGATTGAACGTATTCACGTCATAGAACTGTTACTCGGAGAGTTACCTCCCTGCCTCTGGTTTTGCACCAGAGCCATTGTGTCAGGTTGATGACATACAATTTTTTAAGAAGAATTGAGTACCTCTTTTATACCTTTGGTCCTTTGTGCTTTGTAAACTTTACTTTCTTTACATTTCAGAATAGGCTTGCAAAAGCTAACTCAGAAACCGTAAAAACAAATAAATGTCCCATAAGCTGATAGCCTGATGTTTACTGCAAAGACGTGCCTGTAATAACTAGATTCATGAACCTTCTTTTCATGGAACCCGCAAAGGAGTTGTGGATACTTTAAATTGTGGTTTAATTTGGAAACAACAATACGTAGCCTTTGCTGTATGTAGTAAACTATATATTTTATTCTTTGTTTACATTAAACTCAGTCAACTGATTGTATTTATTTTTACAGCATGTGCTGGAACATGGAAAGCCACATGAACGGTCATGTATAATTAAGGAACTAACTGGGCAAATCGTTCAAATGAGCCAGCAGAAGTTTGCGTCAAATGTCATAGAAAAGTGTTTAAGTTTTGGAACTCTTGCTGAACGCCAGGCCCTTGTAACTGAGATGCTTGGTACCACTGACGAAAATGAGCCCCTTCAGGTTTGCTACTTACTATGAAGTTTTTGGTGTGCACTGTTGGTGAATGTATTCTTTTGTTATAGCATAATTTTCTTTCTTTAATTCTTTTCTTGTCTCAATGTGCCATCTTCAACTATATTTTACTCTGGTCAAGTTTGCATAGATGGGTTCCTGAACTAAGTGCGAACCTTTTCAAATTGCTGAAAAGAGTTGACGTCTCTAACTTTTGGGGATTTTATGAAAATAATCTTTACAGTTTGAAGTAACTTTTCTATAACATCCGAAGCTCTTATGATTACTTTTATTATGATTATGCTGTTACCTGAAACGATGGTTTCTTAGGTTGAACTCGTGAATTCATTTGAATACTAGTGAACTCATTGGGTTTACTTTCACTTATTATCTTTGACATGTAAAAGCTAACTTTTACCTTAACATTCTCAATGACAGTTTGCCTCACCTTTGCAAATTAATTGCTTTTTGATGCATCTAGCTGTTTTGACAAAATCGCGCTAAAGCTAGGGTGTCACCTGTAGGTGGCGCGTTGTGTGGCCCGAGCACAGTGATAAGTGAGCAAGGGTCGCTGTATCTCTAGCTGACCCCACTTAGTGGGAAAAGGCTTTGTTGTTGTTTTTGCTGTTTTGATAAAGTATTTGAATCGTGTCCTTAGTATATAATATTCAACAATGTGCTAGTACGACTATTCAAAGCTTGAATTTATTAATGCATATATCATTTTCATTTTTGATTAACATTGACTAGACGAACACAAACTTTTTAAATTGTGAAAGATTTTTGTTTTGTCAGTATCAAATTTTCCAAATACTATGGCTCTAGGAAAATGATTTGCCAGGCATTGGTTTTTAAGACGGGTATATGCATAGACTAGGGTCTTTTAATATTCCTTCTTATTCTTGTTCTGTTTGAATTTAGGCGATGATGAAGGATCAGTTCGCAAACTATGTTGTACAGAAAGTGTTGGAAACTTGTGACGATCAGCAACTTGAACTAATCCTTAACCGAATTAAGGTTCACCTGAATGCCCTGAAGAAGTATACTTATGGGAAGCATATAGTTGCCCGTGTAGAGAAACTTGTTGCTGCTGGGGGTACTTTTTCGCTCTTTCTCCTTTGTCATTTCATATCAATCTTACATCTCATAGTGATGCTTGAACACATGATACACAAATGTAGTTCTGATTCATCGTTTGGGTTTTCTTGCAATGCAAGAAGTTGGTTGTCATTTCCAAAATGAATAATATGATTTTCTAGCCTAATATGTATTGTTATTCCGGCTTCAAGCTTTGGACTTGCTACTGGTGTAAAAAACCTGGTTGCCTCAAATCGCTAACAAGGTGCTGAATCTTTTGCAGAGAGGAGGATTAGCATTCTGGCTCCCCAGGCTTCTGCTGCTTAGATGGGGTACGGGGACGAAGTTGTACAGCTAACTGAGGATAATATGAGCCCCTCTGTTTCTTTCATGTCAAGTAAAGGCTCTGTCTATGTATTGAGATGGATAAGGCGCGATTAAAATAAAGATCGTTGGTTGTACTTAAAACTGTACATTTTTAGTTTGAGGATATACCTTAGAGTAGTCACGGCGCAGACGGTGAACACACCTGAGGCCCCTGCAGAGGAGATAAATTTAGTGTACAAGTTTTAAGGGTGTAAAAAGCGAGGCAGTAGTAGAATTTGTGGTCGTGACTGTACAAATGTTTTACCAGGTGGAGTCCTCCATAAATTTTTTTAACGTACGGATTATTTTCTAATTAAGGAACCTTTTTTCCGGACAATTTGCGAGTTGAGATTCTATCCAGATTCATTATGTCATGCTGTTACGAAATTTCAAATTTTACCTTTCGCTGTTTCTTTCGACGTTTCGAGCACATGATGAAGCTCAAATTGGTGACTGGTAGTCGTCGTGCTTGTTGAACGGCACCATGAATGTTTTTGAGCTTCACATCTGTCCTCCCGAAGACTTTTAACCGAGGCTTTATATGTTCAGGGAACTGATTTCCGCATTCCGGTCTTCTCCTTATGCGTTCTTCTTCGCTTCGGTTGATTGATTCTTCTTTGATGTATTCAATCGACGGTTGGAATACAGAGGAGTGTATGGCGAGAAAAAGAATTGCAGAAATATTTCATGTGTTTATTTATCGAGAATGGCATATCAAGAAAGAACGAGCATCTGTTCCATAGCCGCAATAGATTCTAGTTACCCAAATGATATGACTGAAACCATAATACCAAAGAAGCAAAGTAATACATAGCACTGACAATTAGTGCCAAATTGCCAACAATACAAGAAAAACCCACCAAACGTACCCAGAATTTTGCCCTAGAGTTTGGTCTGCTCAAATCAACTATATTTAGGAGGGCAAAACGTTATGACATACCTAGGAGCCGTACAAATCTTAAGCCCTGTACAATCATCAAAGGCATAACTACAAGCTCCAGCACAATACCGGTAGGCTTGCAACTCTCTGGATCTGCAAACTCCCCTCTGCAGCAATACCGGTCTGATTTCCGGCGAAGCAAGCGCTCTTGCACCCTACCTTGTTTCTTGACCACCAAGGCAAGTGGCAGCAAACGTTCAAGTCAGCCTCACAGGCAGCAACTCCACACCCACTACCACCTATTGGCCTCATTGAAGCTGGCACGTTGAATCCGTCAATCAAACTCACATCACAGTAATGCAAGGCTGAGTTCGAGGTTCCGAGCGTCATTTCAAAGGGTGTGGCAGGGGGGACTCTGCCGAGTCCCCAGCATTGTAAGAGGCCGGCGCAATCATCCGTTTGGCATGTGCCTTTGCCAGTTTTTTCATCAAAGCAGCAGCCTTGCCTCCCCTATAGCCTGCCCGACCAGTTTTCGGGGACGTTAAGGACTTGTTGCTCGCCGCTGGAGGGCTGGAAGCCGCGTCTCGAGGAGTTTGGTGGCCTGCTTGCCGAGGATTCCGGGTCATATACTCTCCTTGCAGTTGTTCACTACGATGAGTTGAGTCCCATCTGCAAACAACAATGCTATTTGTCAACCAAAGTTTTATAGAAACCAACAAATAAGGAATGTTCAGCGTTCGATTCTCTCCGATGTAACAAAAAAATTTCGAGTAAAAAAGGAGAGAGTATTTGATTGCCTGTGAAGGAGAGGGAAATGAGAAAGGAGAGAAGGAAGAAGATTTGACGTGAGATTGGCATTTGTTCATGAGTAATGGAGATGTGAGTTGGTAACTGGGAGGCTCTTCTATTTACATAGTGTGGAAAAGTGAAAAGGGGTTTTCCTTCGTTCTCGCCATCATGGAAAGGAGTGGTAGCCTTAAGAACAACTGCACATGTAATGGCGGTTTGCAAATTGCATAGGTTAGACCAGTTGGTCAGGACATTGCGTCCGTAATTTTTCACTTAAATTAAAGCAGTTTAGTTTTATTCATGTGGATTGGATCTATGAGCCTCTCATGAAGCTTGTCTATAGAAAAAGATGATTGCTTAAGTGAAAAAGGTGAAGAGAATTTGACAGCACAAGAAAGCACACTTGAAACCAGTATAGATTACTCTAGGGTTTGGTTGAGATGATTTTTGGGAAAATGTATATGAATATGTCCCAGGAAGGTTTTTGAGAAAAAATTAAATGAAACGAGTGCATTCATTTTCGATAGTGACTTTTTACAGTCAAAAGTTTTGCTTTCTGCTTTCTTTGTTTTTATTCATTAATTCTTTGATCTATTTAATTCTAAAATTGCAAAAAAAATAAAAGATTACATAATAAAAAACGTGAGTGAAAAATCATTTTCTTTTTTGTCACATGTGGCAAGTACATGGTATGAAACAGATAAGACCTTGTAACTAGACGAGCTTCGGCATTTTACTTTCTTAAAATGTGAAAATCATGAATTGAAAAGCGAAATAAGAGAATTGATAAGAGATCAACAAATTAATTTGAAGAATGAGATTATTAATAATAATGTGGAATCCACTATTTTTTTTTTATTTCATACGTGTTCCTAAATACTTAGGAAGTTATTAACTGAAATAATTTCAATACCCGTGTTTTAATAAATGCAAAGCAGTTCATATCAAAATAATTCCGAAACTCTTAACGTAAACTAGCATTTCTGCACGCGCTCATGCGCTTGCGAAAGACATTTTTTTAATCACGGTGCACTACGCGCAACTTACACATTTTAGATGTATTTATATGCGAGGATTGGTTCAATGTATAGAAACATAAAATAAAGGCGATTATCATCTCTAATAATACAGGCGAATTTAAAGTATTTTATCTAGAATATGTAAAAAAAAAAAGTAATAAAATTGAGAAAGACAATACTCTTTTAATAATTAGTACACAAATAATCATACATCATATGAATTTTACACACGAATTCATTAATAATTAAGCAGGGCATTGAATAGAAATTTCATAATGGAGTACACCTTCACTAATCTGTCATCCTTTTCGATCAAGAAATTTTTCAGAACTTCCACTTTGTAGTCCCAATCCTTATTGACAAATCTGCAAAGAATAAAGAAAACGAAAGGAGTGCAAAATCAATATTGGATTTGGGGATTTTCCCTAGCTCTCTAAATGCCCTCTATCTTTTAACAACACACAATAGTCATGAAACATGAAGACATCAATACCCGCTTGAACCGGCGAGGCAGCTCGAATTTCAGAGCGAATGACACCTTCAGAAACTTTAATAACCTGTAATCCTTTTCAACAAAGAAATTTTTCAGAGCTTCCACTTTGTAGTCCTAATCCTTATTTACAAATCTGCAAAGAACAAAGAAAATGGGTAAAAATGCATGCTTTGATCTCCTGATTCAATTGAAAATGCATGCTTTGATCTGTATATAGTTGTTGACCCTAAAAACTACCAAGCCTACGTGGCACGCAGACCGAGTAACTAATGAGCTAACTACGTCATTCGGTTATGTGTGGGGCGTGCCAACTCGATGGTCGAGCTCGGCTGGTGAGTAAAATGAGTTGATGTTGCGTTGAGCGTGTTGCTAACTTCTTGATCTTGCGACTGCGGCTGAGGAAGGAATACGTCTAGGCCTTTGGGTTCTAGAGCCTGAAGACAAGGCTGCTAGTTCTACGAAGTTCAATATCAAATTCGACTTTCAATGTGCCGAATGTAGTCACTTGTAACACCTCACTTCGTCGAGAAGGTTAATGAGATGACCTCTGCCAATAAGAATTCAAAAATCTTTCTCGATCGAGACTTGGATAGATAACCAGTCGGCCTCGACGCAGTGCTGTTTATCTGAAGGTGCTTCGTGGTCGGCTGATTCTACGGCAACAATGCTGTTTATCCAAACTGAAGATGTTCGCCGGTTGCCTTCACAGTGCTATTTATCCAAACTGAAGATGTGTCGGCGAAAAAGAAATTAAAAATCTTAAGGTTGTTAAGAGGTTTCACGTAGAGCGAGAATTTATGCAGGGCAGTTTGTGTGTTGAATTTGAGGGGCTTTTCCCGCTGCCACTGCGTCTGTATTTATAAGGTTGGTGTACTTGCTTGGCACGACTAGATAATTTTGTAGTCCAACTGCAACTATATTTCTCGGAACCGAAATTAATCAACGTCAGAGACTAAGGCATATCTTTCAGATAGATGTTCGTGATTTTCCAAACCTCATAAAAGCCTATCAAAATAAAAGTCTTCTTATCATCATAGCCTAGCCTAGCTAGACTCGTCATCATTATCCAAGACCATTATTTTCATTATCCTTACATCCCATGCATACATAAAAAACAAAATATCATGGTTGGTAGTTTTGCATTATCTGCAAAACCATCCTGTTACCATCACATCACCTTATTTTGATTACTCCAATCTGGCATCCTCATCTTGCACTAATATATATGCCAATCTATATCCATTTGCCAACACTGCAGTAACGTATTAGGACTCTTAATAAAATACTCTGATGCTCTAATCCTCCGCACGTCTGAATCCCAAATTAAATTGAATTGTATTGCTCGCTTTCAAGTTGGAGATATAATTCACATCTCATCTTGTACAAGAAAATATTAAGATATTTCACCATTAAAAGATAATATCATGATTAAAGTCACAATATATTCTTCAATAATAATTATCTTAACCATTCCGTCATCCAACGTTTGAGATTTATGTTAATCAACGGCTTTGATCGCACAAACCGATAGTGTAAAATCAGGTCCAAACAATAGTAAATGCACATATACCTCCTAGGCTCATACCACCAATAATGATGCAATTAAGTAATTTGATTTAAGGTTGCCAAAGTGTATTCAACCAATTTGACTGTACCTTAAACCCATACATCATATATCAAAAATGTCAATAGAAGGTTGTTACCTTGAGGAAGAAAAGCTAATTAGATTTTATAAGACATATATGAGTGCACTGCAATATCAACCACATTGATTTTTGTTTGTTTAATGAAATGAAAAAAAAGCATTAGGATTAAAGTCCAAACTCAGTACGAAACTCACCAACTGACCTTCTGAATATGAAATGTAGGCTAACTGTACAAATTTCCAATTATGCCCTTGTGCTTGTTGACTTCAGAAGGGGATGATAATCCACACACAATGTGAAACGGTTGAAATTAATGAAAAATATTGATTACCAAAATATTTAAAAAAAAATTAAATTACCAAATTTTCTTACCCTATGTGAATCGCATGCACTCAGCATAAAGCAAACAATCACAGAGCGCAAGAAATTTTTCATTTTCTTCTACTTTGTAGTCCCAATCCTTATTCCGCCGCATATTTTTCCCTATTTCAGACGAACTCCAAGATCTACATCACACAAACCAAATAAAAACTCTTTCTTTACTAAAACCCTTTACCAAAAACCGATCAAAGTTTGTAAATTTAAACAAAAGATCAAGTTTTGGAGCAAAAAGCACACCTACCTGTATGGCCATGAAAGCTGCAGTCAAGGTGATCGAGCCTTAACCTGCGCGCAAGAGACAAAAGTTTTGCAGAAAAGTTTCTCAGCACTATGATATATAGACTAATAAAAAAGAGTACTTTCTATTAAACTCCAAACAAAATTTAGAAAACCCCATTTTTATTTCTCCCCTTCCGGTTAAGCAATCAATATATACTGTTTGGATTTCCCTTTCTGCGAAACTGTTTCCTTAGACGTTCGGGTTTTTTCCTCCTCCGTTTACACGTCTGCACCGCGTGTCATATCACATTTGTTCGATCATGTGAGGAAGAAGTTTGATCAGAAAATGGGGTTGTGGAAGACAGACGTGGGTGGGGTTGGTTTCCCTGTAATTTTTTAAGTTTGTAATTCTCTTATTTATTAGGTTGTATTCTGATTACTTGCTGACAAAAATACCTTTGTGGATTATGAATCCATTTTTCACAGTAATTTTAATTTTTTTTTTTGAGGGGCTTTATAGTCCAATATTTTTTTGGTGAAGTCTTGAGACACTAAACTCTCGTTCTGCCATTCTAATATTAAAGATTAAAGATAAACATGCCTTAATTCTGTTAGTTTAACTACCACGAATCGCCGGTTCACTCATTTTCCGGGCAGCGGCCGACTCGAGTTTCAAGTAGAATCACGGCTCGTCAGCCAGACAACCGGAAGGTTCGGTTTCTCGTTATCTAAAACCGCTTCAACTAACCCTGAGCGGGCCACTCGGTTAAAAAAAAACCAAAAACTAAATAATGGACAAAATAACCGGTTGAGCCCAACCCTAACCGGTCCATCCGGTCGCGTCGCCCACGGTTTTATAATCTCCTTCTAACCGCCCTAACTCGGTTCTGTTTCCCTTCCTCTCTGTTTATCAGAAAGCATTCAAACCAGAAACATGTAAGCTCTCTCTGTCTCTCTCACTCTTAATTTTAATTCAATTAATTAAATTTAGTGTATTATTTGAACCATTTGGATGCTGGGTTTGCTGGGTTTCTGTTAATTACTTGGTTTAATTCGAATTAAAGAAGAGAGTCCATGTCTTTGTTGTAATGGGGTTTGGCCTTTTTGCATAAACTAGTTAATTCTCTGAGGTTTTGTCCATGGCTTCTGGTCTGGTAATGGAGCCCGTGCCGATAACGTCACAAAAGCACGACCCGGCATGGAAACACTGTCAAATGTTTAAGATTGGGGAGAGGGTTCAGCTGAAGTGCATATATTGTAACAAATTGTTTAAGGGTGGTGGGATTCATAGGATTAAGGAACACCTTGCCGGTCAGAAGGGTAATGCGTCGACTTGTCTGAGAGTTCCGCCGGATGTTCGGGCTCAAATGCAGCAGAGTCTAGATGGGGTAGTGCTGAAGAAGAGGAATAGGCAGAAGCTTGATGAGGAGATTACTAACATTAATCCCTCACCTCATGGTGAGGCAGAGCCGATTGCTGATCAGAGTGATGTGAGTAATGGGGGTCAGTTGATTGGAGTTCCCGAGGCGCTTGAGCACAATTCGGGGTTGTTGGGGAACCAAGAAGGAATGACAAGTGGGAGGAGTTTGGGGAGAAGGAAAAGGGGGAGAGGCAAAAGTTCTTTTGCAGGACATAGTGCTCTTGTTGTTAGTAATAGTGCTGCTTTAGGTTCTCCAAAGGTGAACAATTTTGTTCACGAGGCAATTGGAAGGTTTTTGTATGATATTGGGGCGCCTCCAGATGCAGTGAACTCTGCGTATTTCCAACCGATGATTGATGCAATTGCTTCAGGTGGTTCAAGGGTTGTGCCTCCTACGTACCATGATATTCGTAGTTGGATATTGAAGAATTCAGTTGAAGAAGTGAGGAACAGTATTGATAAACATAGGGAAACGTGGGGAAGAACGGGTTGTTCAGTCTTGGTCGATCAGTGGAACACAGAGTCAGGTAACGTTTTGCTAAGTTTTTTGGTGTACTGTCCTGAAGGAACAGTTTTTTGGGAATCTGTTGATGCATCAGACATTATAAATTCCCCGGATGCGCTTTACGAACTGCTTAGGAGAGTGGTAGAGGAAGTTGGAGTAAAAGATGTGCTGCAAGTGATTACTAGTAGTGAAGAGCAATATATGGTTGCGGGGAGGAGGTTGACTGATACTTTCCCTGCGCTATATTGGACTCCATGTGCAGCTCGGTGCTTAGATTTAATACTCGAAGATTTTGGTAATATTGAGTGGATAAATACGGTCATTGAACAAGCAAGATCCATTACAAAGTTTGTGTACAATCATAGTGCAGTGTTGAATATGGTCAGAAGGTCTACTTTTGGCAATGATATAGTAGAACCAGGCGCCACTCGCTTCGCTACAAACTTTACAACATTAAAACGACTGGTTGATCTAAAACACTGCGTACAGGTCATGGTTACTTCGCAGGAGTGGATGGACTCCCTATATTCAAAGGAACCGGGGGGACTGGAGATGTTGGACCTTGTTAATAATCAGTCATTTTGGTCCTCATGCATCTTGATTGTTCATCTGACAGATCCTCTCTTGCGAGTTTTGAGAATGGTTGGTAGTGAGAAGAGGCCTGCAATGGGATACGTGTATGCTGGAATGTATTGGGCAAAAGAAACAATTAAGAAAGAACTCATTAAGAGGGAGGAGTACATGGTATACTGGAATATCATAGATCAACGATGGGAACAGCTGTGGCATTCTCCTCTTTATTCTGCAGGCTTCTACCTTAACCCCAAAATATTTTACAGTATCAAAGGAGATATACATAGTGATATTGTCTCGGGTACTTTTGATTGCATCGAGCGATTGGTTCCTGATACAAATGTCCAAGATCAAATCATCAAAGAGCTAAATTTGTACAAGAGTGCTGCTGGAGATTTTCGAAGGAAGATGGCAATTAGGGCTAGAGACACTCTGCTTCCTGGTGAGGGACTAATCTTTTTGATTGTTTTGTTATTTCTAACTTCGGTGTCATGACTTAGCTAGCAATGCCATAAGTACTAGCACATCCGAATAAGCCATTCGATATGCATTCGTGCATGCTAAGTCAGATAAATATTGTTGTTCCAATTCAATTGGTATTTAGTAATTTATAAGCATTTTTATGTATTAGATCAAATCAAGCCTTTGATTTTGTTTAATCCCTGTAAAGATGGAGGCCCTTTGATCTTTTGGGTGTATTTGATGTAACTATGACACCGAAATTACCTTTCTAGGAACAGAAACTGAACTTTTTATCGTTGTATTCTGTTTTTTGTATTTGAACCTCTTTCTCACACTTAGCTAATTTTATCCACAATGTACTTCTCTTAGCTGAATGGTGGTCAACATATGGAGGAGGTTGCCCAAATTTGACACGCTTGGCAATCCGAATTCTCAGTCAAACTTGCAGTTCGATTGGCTGCAGGCGAAATGAGAATCCTTTTGGGAAAGCACACAACACAAGGAACTGCCTTGAGCGTCAACGTATCAGTGACCTCGTCTTTGTTCGTTATAACTTGCGACTGAAACAAATGTAAGCATAAAGCAATACTGTATGGAATTAGGAATGGCTGTTTAAATATAATGGGGAGAAATTCCTTTCCCTTTGCTAATAATAATTTTTGTTTTTGCGCAGGGTTGGTAAGAACATCGGACAAGATGTTATGGATCCCATATCATTTGAAAACATTAGCATGACCGAAGACTGGGTTACCGGGAAGGACATGTGCTTAGATGACAATGGGAGTTCCGACTGGATGGAACTCGATTCAAACTCTGTAAGCACAATGCTTCTAGGGCCATCAAATGATGATGCCGATGACTTGGGCTCTGGTAATTTTATACTCGGATGTGGATACATGCTAAAACCAAATTGAGCTTTGTTCTTAATCGCATTGTACACTGATTAACCTTGGTCGATATATGCAGGGTTTGACGATTATGAGATCTTCAGTAGAGCAAAAGACGGTGAAGAGGAAAATGTTGAAGACAGCGTAGAAAATCGTTAGAGCCTTATCCACGAGTCAGTTATCGACATCAAGGACCTGTGGTTACGAATCATCGCCTTGTTCTTTGCAACCGAGCAGAGGAAGATGTAGGGAAGTAGATGTCCACAAAGGTAGTTTTCAATTTGGAGAGCAGTGCATTGCATTGTAGGTGATAATTAGAAGCAGATAGTTTGTAGCAATTAAAATGTTGTTAGAAAGATATAATTTTCCTTTTTAGTCCTCATCCAGTGACTTGTTATCACAGATGAAATGTAAAAGTATTAGGAAATAGAGTGATGAAATTGTTCACTCTAATCTTGGGTAAATAAAAAGATTAGAGTAAAATATAGACTTGGTTCCTGAACTTGGAAATTAGTTTAGAATTCGTCCTCGAGTTTAAAATTCGTTAATTAGAGTTCTTGAATGTAACAACGACTTGGATTCTCTCTCTCCTCTCGTCCCTTTGGAATCCCTTGCGGCAAGGGACGGATCGCGGCTTTAACAGAAAGAGTTCGATGGCTTATTTCAACTTTGAAGCTCATGTGCATGTCACATGTCGATGGGGATTTTTAGTTCGATGACAAATTCTAATACTTAAGCTGGTTTTATATGTGCGGGTACCCCTTTCACATGAGAAGAGAGGCAGCGAGAGGCGTATACACCTGGGGACACATATGGCATAATAAATACTGCAACAGTTTAAGTTTTTATGTTCATGAATCTAATTGTTTTGCTAATAGGATGAATCTAATTGTTTTGCTAATAGGATAAATAAATCCTAATCAGAATGGCTGTCCAACATCATGATATTGTCAAAATTATTTAGATATGTTCAGCGTTTGATACACCAATGCATTATAGAATTAAAAAAAAAAAACGACGTCTTTTTGAACTTGAAAATATTGAATATTGCAGCTGCCTTATGGTATTTAGAGAAAATGATAATAAATCTTGTTTGAATTATAGATAAAATTTTAGCGATGGTCCATTAACTTTAATCAAATTGGAGCAATAATCCTTCAACTAAAAATTCATGACCATTAGTTCTTAACTCATCAAAATGTGCAGCTATGATCATTTTCGTCAACTCTGTTAAAAATTCTGTCAATATGAGTCACTTGCCAAGCACGCGAGACTGAATCAAGGGGCAAAATGAGAAACTAAATAAAAATACTGTACAAAATGGTACCTCAACTTAACCCAATTGGAGAAATGATTCTTCCAACATTACTCATTTTGATGGAAGTTCCGACGGAGTTGACGAAAAAGAACATAACTGAACGCTTTGAGAAGTTAAAGGAACCAAGGTATAAAATATCGATGATATCGGAAACATCGGTAGTCCAAAAACACGAAAATTTCGATGGAAATATGGGGATATTATCGATATTGATAAAAATTGAATAAAAATCACGGAAATTGTAAGAAAAACTTGGAAATTTTTATTGAAACTTTGCAGGATGTTTATTTAGTCAATTATCTATTAGTTTATCACAAAAAATTAGAAGGAAATGCATTGCATGATAGATATAACTGATTTAAGTTGATTATATAGCGAGCTGGCAAACATTGTGAGTGTAGAAAATATAGTAATTAATGAAAGAAATTTAAACACACCATAATCATTTATATATAATGAATTAGTACAATATTTTACACTTTATACATTGCATGGTAAGATACATGAGTGACTTAGCAATGTCTAAAATATCGATGATATCTATCGGTAGTCCAAAGAAATATCAGTATTCCAAAAACACGGAAATTTTGATGGAAATATCGGGATATTATGGATATTTTAGACCATGAAAGGAACTAATAGTCATGAATTTTTAGTTAATGGATCATTGCTTCAATTAAGTTAAGTTAAAGTTGAAGGACTATAAATTAAAATATCATTGCAAAGATTTTAATTAAAAAAAAATAGAACTTTACCGCCCTTCATTATTCACATTACAATCCTACTTTACGCTACAATAACCCACTCAGTCAATTTCGGTGGCCTACGATGAGAAAGAAACCAGTTTACTTTTCACTCATAACGCGACGCGCCTCCCCACTCGTATAAATGCCTATTGCCTTGTCCCAATTGTGACATCGGTGCAACAACAATGAACGAGCCCCTCTCTTTCTCTGTAACTTCAAACCCTTCTCCGTCTTAAAACTCACTCAGAACCTCCGCCAACTACGCCGATTACTTCCTTCTTATCACATTTGCTGCGCCTGTTTGAGTATCACATTTGATGAACTCTCGACACCTGACAACAAGGCGGGTCTTCAGGTTACTTGCAAGAAACTATAATCCAAAAAATGATGGTCCAAGGATCCCTTTCCTTATTAATTACAAGAAGCAGCAGATGGTTTGTAGCAATTTAAATCTTGTTAGAAAGATTGAAATGTTCCCGTCCGGTCACCTGGTTTTAACAGATGATGAAATGTAAAAGTATTCAGAAATAAAAAGATGAATTTGTATACTTTTATCTTGGGTAAATATTTAATTAGTATTAGACTGGTTTTATATGTTCTATTTTTTCATGAAATTAAGTGTGCAAGCTCTACTCATATTCTTTTATGTTCTTGTTTGGACCTAAAATTACATCATCGGTTCGTGCAATCAAGGCCGTTAAGTAGGCATAGCTCCCAACCGTTGGATCGAAGAGTGAAAAATATTTTTTTTTATTATTGAAAGATAATATTATGATTTTTATCATCATAATTATCTTTTAATAATGATTTTTTTTTTCTTATACAACGGGATAAATAGGATTCTCATTATCTCCGGTGAAAGCAACAAGCAAAGTTCGAATTAACTTAGGTTTGCTGGCAGTGGACATGTAGATTGATAGGAGATCATCAAGTGGGATTTGACATCCCCTAAAGAAAAATAAGGTCCTGGATAACGAAGACATTGGAAACCTAGGTAGGCTAGGCTTTTTGTTTTGCATGGTGATGGATGTTGTCAGATGGGTTTGAAATGATAAGGGTACTTTGAAATTTCAAAGTCCTCTTGTGAAAGTTTCTGGGCGCAGGGAGACTAGCGGGATTTTTGTCGAAATATGTCAAAGATAATATCAGTTATTTTGATATTGTTTGTTGGGATATATTCGGAAAAGGCTTCTATTTGGATTGGCGATCAAGGAGACTCGGCTATAAATACAAAGCTTTCTCACAAATCAAAGCCCCCTCCAATTCAACACACAAATTGCCCTGCGTAAACCCTCGCTCTACACGAAACCTCTTAACAACCTTGAGATTTTTATTTTCTTTTTCCGCCAACACATCTTCAGTTTGGATAAACAGTACTGTGAAGGTAATTGGCAAACAACTTCAGTTTGGATAAACAGCACTGTTGTCGTATAATCAGTCGACCGCGAAGCATCTTTAGTTTGGATAAACAGCACTGTGACGAGGTCGACTGGTTATTTAACCAAGTCTCAGTTGAGAAGGATTTTCGAATCCTTATTGGCAGAGATCATCTCATTAGCCTTCTCGGAGAAGTGAGGTGTTACCAGGTTACTACATTCGGCACCCTGAAAGTCGAATTTGATATTGAACTTCACAAAACTAGCAACCTTGTCTTCAGGCTCTAGAACCCGAAGGCCGAAAAGTGTTCCCTTCTCGGCCGCAGTCGCAAGATCAAGAAGTCAGCAGCGCATCCGACGCAACATCAACGTATTTTATTCCTCGGCCGTCGAGTTGGCACGCCCCGCACACAATCGAATGACGTATTTAGCTCATTAGTTACTTGGCCTGCGCGCCACGTAGGCTTGGTAGTTTTTAGGGTCAACAGTTCTATTTTATTTATTTATATACTTTAATATATCGCTGAAATTGAGGGAAGTGACAATCTAACACAACGTCGAACGAGAATTGAATAGATAACCAAGTCATCGACGTCGCATAAAATATAATCAACAAGGTGTGTCACAAAAATCAAGTTTAAATAAACACAGAAATACTAGCATAACTATAATCATACAAAAGAAAAACAAACAGGCAAAATACAAAAGGAAAAGAGAGTGGATTGTCACTCTTTATCTGAAGAACTTGGGTGTAGCCGGAAATTTTCCACTTTGCATGTATCTCTAACTTGATGTAAGAGATAGAGACAGGACCAATAAATCCCCCATTACGCGCTGGAATCCTCACTAGCTTGGGTACCTGCAACTACCACACTACCATAGGGGTGGATTTTTTTGCCAAATTGCCATGCCAACCAAATTGCCAACCGTGCCATACCGATTTTGTGCCAAATTTTTTGTACCAATCGGTAATGGTACGGTATTGTACCGTACCGAAATTTCATGGTACGGTATTGGTAATGGATACCATTATCACGGTATTACCGTACCATACCGAAAATACAATATAATTTATAATTGATAAATTATATAATAGATAACTATATAACACATATTTATAATATTCCAATAATTTGAAAATAAAACCCTACTTATATTAGCATTGTTGTTGGTGACTTTGATCTCTTAAAATTGTGGAAATCAAACACAAAAGAGTTCCTAATTCTTTCACAAATAGCCAAAATATCTTTGTAACCCCCACTTCTACTGTTGCTAGTGAAAATGCATTTAGCCTAGGGAGGAGGGTTGTGGACCTTTTTAGGGTATCCTTGACTTCTAAAATAATGAAGGCAATAGTGCGTACTAGTGGTTGGCTTAGGGCAGATGAAGTAAACTTCTACAAGGAACCAACGGAAAATATGCTTCAATTTTACAAGGAAATGGAAGAAGAGAAAACAAGAAAGATATGCTTTAATTTTTTTAGTAAATTTGTTATTAAATGGTTTTCAACTTTAATTCTTCTTGCTACTAATTAATATGTTTTCTTTGTTTGTAATGTATGCTTGACACAAACTCAATCTTCTACAAGTTTAATGCCTCCTCCAAAAGCTTTGACATCTCAAGCTTGAATAACTGATCAATGAATTCTCCTTTTTGAAGTTTACTTCCAATTTTCATTTGGTTTGAAACTTTGATTTCTATTTGGATTGTTAACTTCTATTTGTTTTGGTTCGTAACTTCTATTTGGATTGTAAGCTTAATTTTCATGATGAATTTTGATGCATCATTTGAATTATTATGTGTGTGAATTGTAACTAATGAATAATAGATGAATTTAATCTATAATGTATGAGATAAAGGTACAAAAAAAAAAGTTTTGCCCTTGAATTAGGTTAAAAAAACAAAAACAGATTTTGTCCCAAAACAAAATGGCAATTACCATTGCCATACCATGCCAACCGAACTTTTGGCAATACCGAACTTCGGTATACCAAAAATTTGGTATGGTAATGGTAATAGATTTTACCAAACCGAAAGTTTGGTACGGTAATTGGTACAAGAGTTTTGGTACGGTAACCGTACCGAACCCACACCACCTTTACGACTACCAGATACCGAGGGAGATGAGATAGAACCGCCTTCAAAATCAACATCCGCATCATCACAAGACCAAGCACTTGCCTTTCTCAAAACATGATGATGTGGGGTAAGCAAGGTTCTAAAAGACGCTAGACGTTAGGTGCTAGTCGAACGGTGGGTAGTGGCCTAGCGTCTAGACGGTTAGGCTTTAGAATAGTGGGATAAGAATGCACTTATGATGCATGGATACTTCACTTTGATCACGTATCCTGCATACAATATTGTCAGATACTCATCTGGTACGTATTATGGTTAAGTTTGACATGATGGATACACATATTCAACATTTGAGATACACAAATCATGCTTTTATGATACTTTTACACTTTCAAATAAGAAATTAAAAGAACATAAATTAATAAGAGACGAAACTTTATTTTGAAATCTAATGGATATGAAGAACTAACCTCTAATTGAAACTTTGAATAAAACTCTCACACTTCTTCGATATATATCAAGGGAATTAGATTTATCAAATGAATTCAAATTCTTGTGTTCTCAAAATATGTTCCAAATTATATATTTTTATTTTTGTATATCATTATATTGTTTTTATTGCCGTATCTATCTGTTGACCCTAGAAACTACAAAGCCTACGTGGCGCGCAGGCCGAGTAATTAATAAGCTAACTACGTCCTTCGGTGAATGCGGGGCGTGCCAACTCGTCGGCCGAGCTCGGCCGAGGAGTAAATTTGTTGATGTTGCGTTGGGTCGCGCTACTGACTTCTGCGTCTTGCGATTGCGGCCGAGAAAGGAACACGTCTCGGCCTCTTGGGCTCTCGAACCTGAAGACAATGTTACTATTCTCACGAAGCTCAATATCAAATTCGGCCCTCAATGTGTCGAATGTAATAACTCGTAACACCTCACTTCGCCGAGAAGGCTGATGAGATGACCTCGACCAATAAGGATTCAGAAATCCTTCTCGACCGAGACTTGGATAGGTAATCGGTCGTTCTCACCGCAGTGCTGTTGATGTCAACGGAAGGTACTGCGAGATCGACTGATTCTACGGTGACAGAGCTATCTATGCCGACTTAAGATATCACCGGTTGCTTCCACAGTGCTGTTGATGCCAACGGAAGATGTGTCAGCGAAAAAAGGAAAAAGAAAAATCACAAGTTGTGAGAATTTGCGCAGGGCAATTTTGTATTGATTTGCAGGGGGTCTCTCTTCCGTTGCCACTACCTCTGTATTTATAGGAGCAAATGTTGTGTGACGCGGCCAAATAATTTTGTAGAGTCCAACTGCAACTTTATTTTGTGGAATTGACCTTGATCCCGTATCAAATATGCCGCGCATATCCTTCAGATAAACCCTGATCCCGTATCAAATACGCCGCACATATCCTTCAGATAAATAAAGCCTACCTAGGCTTTATCACATCTCACTAGAGATCTAACCCACCTAGGCTTCTTATTAAAAAACATGAGAAACCTTTAAACCCATATTGCCATCACCATGCAAAACCATCATCTCCATTGTCGCATGCCACGTGCACAAAACCAATCCCAAAAAGCCATGCATTAGGATAGAATCTCCATATTGCACAATTCTTTTGCAAATTACACGTTTTGGCATGTTTGGATTTATCCCCTATCACTTCATTATCTTTACATCCCATGCATGCATGTCCAACAAAACAAACCAACCTGTCCCCATGACAACTCTACTTGCCTCCATCCCATTTATTTTGCATAAAAAACCGAGATAACTTATTAAAAAAAATAATTATTATGATTAAAAATCATAATATTATCTCTTAACAATAATATCTAAACTTTCTTATCCAACGGTTGAGAACCATGCTTACTCAACGGCCTCGATTGCTTAGGCCGATGTGTAAAATCAGGTCCAAACACTATCGCATAACACATCCTACATTTTAGAGATTTTTTGTATAACCATGTTATGTCGTATCATATTGCTGTATCTGTATCTTCATAGGAATGCACATAATCCTCAAAACTCACCACCCGTTCCACCGCCATCGCTGCCACCCTTCTTCCCATCATAAGCCCCGGGAGACGCCACTGCGTCAGGCAGCGCCGCCTCACCCTCCAAGTACCTCACCACCTGCCTCATTGTGGGCCTTGCCCTGGGGGAATTATTTGAACACATCAGCCCTAGCTTCAGCACCACAACGGCCTCCAGATCATCAAACTCACCCCCCAATCTGTGGTCCACAACTTCAAGAATTAAGCCGGCCATCCACTTCTCCCAAACCCAATCAACCAATATCAGCTCCTCCGGCAGGGCTTTTGGTTCAATGGGTCTCCTCCCACACACCAGCTCCAGCAGGAGAGCACCAAGAGCAAACACATCCGAGCTCGGAGTCGGTTTTCCGGTCCGAGTCAACTCCGGAGCGAGGTAACCCAGTGTCCCAGCAACCCTAGTTGTTGTAGGGTTTGCTCCATGCTCATACAATTTAGCAAGACCGAAATCTCCAAGCCGTCCGTTCATCTCAGAATCCAAAAGAACGTTTCCTGCTTTTATGTCCCTATGAATCACAGTCTGCTCCCAACCTTCGTGCAAATACAATAAGCCAGAAGCTACATTTTGAGCTATCTTGAACCTCTGTTCCCAGCTCAAAATTGCTTTTGGCTTCTCAAATAAATATTTATCCAAGCTCCCATTAGGCATAAAATCATACACAAGCAGCAAATCTCCGCGCCGGCGACACCACCCCAACAACTGCGCTAAATTCCTGTGCCTGAGACGGCCAATGGTGGCGATTTCCGACACGAATTCCTGCAGACCCTGCCTCGACTCGTTCGAAATTCGCTTAACCGCCACTTGGGTTTCTGAATTCGGCAATGTCCCTTTGTAAACCTTACCAAATCCACCAAACCCGATCACCTCTTTATCCCTGAACCCTCTGGTGGCCTGCTTCAGGTCGTTGTACCTGAATCTATGAGGCCCAATGTCGAGCTCCCACGGCTCGATCACCTCGGCGTTCTTGATCCTGTGAACAATGTAGAAGCCCAATCCGGCGGCCAAGATAAAGAAAACAAGAACAGAAAGAGAAACGCCAACGATCAGCGCTGATGAATGCTTCTTTTTACGGCGGGGAAGTTTAGGCAGAGCTTCTAAATCCAGAGATTTGGCTTCTCCGTTCATCTTAAAGCTCCAACCGGAGACGTAGTGGGAGCTGGCAAGCAACCCGGTCGAAGCAGAGAACCCAACGTACATAAAATCTTTCAAAATTGGAGAAAGATCGACATCGAATGTTAAAATCGGGGATCTGGGTTTGATCGAATAGGGTGAAAGCATGACAGTGACTTGATTTTTCACCGAATCGTAATCGACCCAGGCCTGGATCGGCAGTCCACTCTTGAGATTGAGGTTCTCTTTCGTCGAATTTCCACCGCTGAAAAACCCGGCTGGGGTCGATTTGTTGGAAGCCAGGGTGTTGATATCGATTCCGACATGGTTGTCGTTGATGTCCCCGAATTCGAAGTCCTTGACTGTGTCGAATTCGACGGCAAAGATGTGGTTGGAGAAGTTGCCGACGACGGTGGAGTTGAGGATGCCGAGGTACTGGCTGGGGAGGGATCCCGGGAGCGATTTCGACGGCGAGATTATGAAGGCAAGGCCGTGGCCGCCGAGCTTTGGGTACTGCGGGACGATGGTGAATACGAAGGAGGTGGAGAAGGAAAAGGCTTTGCCGTCGGTAGAGCTTTTGAATCGGACTGGGGCGGAGTAGAAGGCGTGGCCGAGGACTCTGAGAGTGTCGTTTGTGAGCTTTAGCATGCCGTTGGGCTCGATTGATGCGACGCCGTTTAAGCTCATGTTGCTGCTGTTGGAGACGCCATTGAAGCCGTTTAAGTAGAGCTCTTGGTCGAGCTGGGTTTTTGTTGGGTTTGGGAGGAAGAGGAGGAAAACCCAGCAAAGTATGAGTCTTTGGAATCCCATAGGAAGTAGAGCCGTAGAGGTCGACTCTTTGCTGGGTCTCTATTAAGCACATGGCAATGGAGTTCAGTACCAAATATAACTAAAATTTCACCTTTAATTTTTAAAATATCATATATTTTTAAAATAAACTTTAAAATCTCTCAAAAAAAAAAAACAAAATAAACTTCAAAAGACTTAAGTGCCTTCAACTTATGTGGGCTCCTGGAATGTTCTCTCCGTACCCAGTAAATTAGTAATTGTAAAATTTACATATGCAGATGGGAATTTTTCTATCCTTTCCTTTTTATTTTTTTGTATGCTTTTTTTACTTTTAGAGTTTTGGATCTTGATTATTTCCACATTTCCCAATCCAATAAGTAGAAAGAACAGTTTTTCGTTTTGTTCGTGACGCATTTTTAAAGGCAAATGTGGGCGGGTCAATTGGGTTCGCGGGATAAAGAATCACCTCATCAATCATAGTAGAAAATGGTTTGAGAGCGCGTTTACTAATCCATAATTAGATTTAGGGGAATTGAATTAAGGAGGAATTAGAATAAGCGATAATTGGAATGAGCTGGAATCAGAATTAGATTCATGTTGAAACTGTTTACCAAAATTGTCTGAAATCGGAGTAGAAATGACATTGATCTATATAAATTGTTTACTAATTCATATGAATCGAAATAAAATCTAATATAATTACTAAAGTACCCATGCTTAACTAATCTATTTTATTTGCTAATTATTTTTGGTAAAACTTTTACTCTTTCATTTTTTTTTATTTTTTAGAGAGAATTTTTTTAAGTAAAACTTTTAGTACAATTTAATATGAAAGAATATTTTTTATTTGCGTCTACATATTTGAGAAGATTCTTAATCACCCTAATTTATTTCCTCTTCTCTTTCTCCCCCTCTCCCTAGTCTCTTTTAGTAGCCGCTCTCGCTTGACCAAAACGCTCTCACCCACACCATCCTCTCCAATACCCACCACCACTACCGTCTCTCCTCATTCCTCTCCTCCCCCATCCTCTTCTCTCTCACCCTCCACGGCCTCAACTCACTCCCCCTCATCCACAAGATTATCCTCAACGCCAACCACGTTCTCTCTCATCCTTCTTCCATGCCGTTCGTGGATGTTCACCAAATCCTCGTTGACAAACGCCCTGGGGAATAAGGGTCTGCCATTCACACCAATCCAAGCAATCAATTTCTGACTTGCAGCCCTAAATTGGTTTGCAACATTTGCATAAAGAAAGGTCTGCCGTTCTAGGACTTGTTCCATAAGAACATGACTCGGCCCGGCGTTCCGCCCGGGTTTGCAGTGTGTAAGGGCGGTGTCGTGGTGGTGGTCAAGGTGTAAGGAGTCGGCATAGGAGAAACGAAGGAGAGGGTGCGCTATTGGTGGGTGCAAGGGTATTTTTGGGTAGAAATGTTTGATTCCAGAGGGAGGCTTCCTCCGGGAATTCAATTACCACCTCCATGTAGGTAATTGAATTCTGAAAGATTAAGGAATTCGATTCCGGATTTTAAGTGGATCCCATTTACTTTTTCATTCCCTACATGTTAGTAAACGCCGAAATGCTTCGAGTGGAATGGGATTCCGTTTCTTTCTATTCCATTCCCGTTTGGTAAATACGCCCTGAGTTCAATTAATTGACTCGAGTCAAATTGAATCTGGATCCTTTTTGTGAGGATTCCGGAGATTCGTGAATCATACATCATGCGATCAGAAATTATTTTAAATATCAACACAAATAGTACCTGACAAAAACTAACTGCACGATGTACGATAAACAGACACAATTTACGGATCTCTAGGATTCTCACCATGATGACCCATCCCTAATTTTCTATGTCATTTCCTTCCCAAGTATATAAAATGACGATTATCCCCTTGTTGGCAAAGTGGAACTTGACGTGGACGTTGTTATTCAGCTTTTAATTTAATAATTCGTTACTATTCATCCAAAGAAAAATCAGATGGATTACTATTCATATGAAGAAAAATCAGATGAATTACTATTCATATGAAGAAAAACGGATGGGTTAGTATTCATGCATAGTATTTTCACTATTCATTTGAGGAAAATTTGTAAAATGAATAGTGTTGCTACAGTAATCTTTCCAACTTTAAAAATCAATCATTCTCACCCACCATGCCTATCGATTAATCATTCTCCTTATTTTATTTTACTCATTAATTAGACATTCTCTCTCTCAGCTTCTCGTTCTCTCTCTCTCTCTCTCTCTCTCTCTCTCTCTCGTCGTGTCTCCCTCTTCCCTCTGCAATACAGACACCATCAAAACACTCCTAGCATCCCTAGAAACATGAATCCAACCTAGGGTTTTTGAAAATTAGAGTCCAACTGCGAGTCCTACATCCTCCATTGAAGCCGCGACTTTCCCGGCCAATTTCTCGTCTATTCCAGCCAAGCTGAGGTCTCTAACCATCATATTTGGATTCCTCTCGTTGAGTAGATGACTTTTCATATATAGATTGTCGATTTTGGTTAAGAATTGACAAAGTTATGGACGTCTAAAGTTTTCCATTTTTTTGGCGAGTTCCCCAGTTTTCCCTCGGACCAGTTACGTTTCAGACCATTTTCTAGCCATCTCTAGCAACCATTGGGCTTTCAAATAGGTATAATATTGTTCTACACTTTCCTAGATTCATTTTGATATATTATGGGCAAAATTTGGTTAAGAAATGAACTCGTTATGACCATTTGATATATATTAATATGACTTATTTTTAGCTACGTCTTCTGGAACCTGTTTTTAATCTCACTTTACTCTTTGTAACTAAAAAATTGTCACTTTACTCCTTAAAAATCAAAGTTCGCTTCACTTCCTTTTGAACTCGATTTTGATCCTATTTACCCCCTGAAACTTGAAAGTCGTCTCTATAAAAATCAAAATTCACTCCACATTGCCTTAGATCTATTAATTTCTTATGTCGATTTGATATGAGTGTGACAAGCTAATCAATTTATTTTTTATTTTTTTCGTCTCTTTAATTTCTTTCAAATTTAATATTCTCTAATTGTTGAATGTTAATGCATAATGGAGATTTATAATCAAATTTATTGGACTTGTGGCATTGTCTTATTAGGTGCTGGGTGCCACATATGTTTTTGGAGGCGACATATAAGTTTCAGGGAGAAGAGATAGTTCATAATTCAAAGTGAAAAGAATTTTGAATTAAGGAGTAAAATAGTAATTTTTGAGTTATAGAGGGCAAAATGAGATCAAAAATTTTTTTTTAGGGGGCATAGCCAAAATAAGCCTCTTAATATTAACAATGGACAATTTCCTGCTGCTTGAAGCCCTGCAGCTAGGGGTGGGCAAACGGGTACATGAACCGCGGGTAGGGGCGGGTAATTCAGGTTTGGGGCGAGTCCAAAATTTCTAAACACAAAACGGGACGAGGCGGTTCGGGTATATGAAATTATCGGGGTGGGGCAGGTCTTAAAATAGGAGGGAACGGGCCCTCAGCTCGGCTCGTTTCTTTTCCTCATCCCTAGTCTTCTCAATCTCTCATCCCTGACTCTTTTCATTTCACTCATACCTCGAGACCTCCTCCTAACTCGCTCACAGCCTCCTACTGTCCCAGCTCCGTACGCCACCACCATCATCGTAAGACCTCAATCTCTCCTGATTCACTCATGTCTTCCTCGCTTTGTCCGTTGCCATCATCATAGGCCTCGATCTCTCCTGACTCACTCTCTGGAAATCACTCTCTCTAACGAACTCAAAGGGACATACGAAGTCAAACAACTCGAAACGACGTCTCCTCTGTCTAACCCATATTTGTAGGGCACGACTATACTCATAGTCCTCTTTAGTTTTAAGGTATTACATTTTAGGATTTAGGATTGAAAATTAAATTAGGGTTTTCTAGATTTAGGGATTTTGTTGGGTTTTTGAACCTTGACTTATGTTATGTTCCAATTTCAAATCTTTTATTGAATTGAATTTGAATCGATTGAGTTTGAAAGTTCTGTTGAATTAAATTTAATTTGGGTAGAAGAAAAGGTAGATCTGAGTAGGGCAGTGTCGAATCTCATTGTGGGTGGCGATTTGGAACTGGGTTTGGTGGGTTTGGGTCTAATGGTGAGGTGGGCATGGGCGAAGACGACATTGAGTGGCGGTGGTTCGGGCGATGCTATTGAGTTATAGAAGAATACGAAGGAGGGGGTGTGGGCATGGGTGGATATCGCAATCTCAATTGAATTTTTTCTGGTTTTGTTTGTGATTAATTGGTTGTTTGTGATAGTTAGTGATGGATTTTGACATGCCCATTTGATTGTATCAAATTCAAACCGATTGAATTGTATCCTAGGAAAAAAAACACAAAGGAACTGTGGACCTGTCCCGTTTCAACCAGGTCGGGTTAGGTCCGGTTCCTATATTAGAAAATGTTGTCCCCGGCCTGCCCTGGCCCGTTTCTCTTAAGCCCGGGTTCAGTCCAGTCCCTTCGAAATTGTGCCTAGCCCGGTCCGTGCACACCCCTACCTGCAACTGTACAACGAGTACCAGCAATACAAATAGTACAACTAGTACCTGCTAGGCTGCTACAAATCCATTTGGAACGCTCCCTCTAGTGCCTCAGATGTCAATTGGTTGCGGTGGAACAATTCCATATGGAATTTCGAGCATGCTTGTTGTTAGATTTGGCATTCATGTCGTGTTTTCTGTGTTTATGTAGTTTTCGTGTAACACCTGTTAAAATAAACAGGTAATAAGACTCAACCCAAACTCATCCCGTTAATATTAACGGGAAATATGACTGACCTGTTATCCGTTATAAAAAATATATTTGAAACCAACAATACTCAAATGAAAAACATAATATTAAATTAGTATATACATACCACATTATCACATAAATATTATTTTCAAAACATAAAATCACATTTATCTTTCAAGTATCACATATATATTGAAAAAATATATATAAACGCCCGTAATGATAAGTTTTACAACTTTTGTGAAGGGCTCAAGTTCGAAATTGCCACTATAATAACATAAACTATATATCAAAATTTAACCGTTAATTGTCGTTCACATTTATGCTCGAT